TTCTTTAACTTTTTCACTTATAAGATATTTTAGAAATCTTTGAGATGTTGCAACTCTTTGCGTGTTCTATCAGATTTACCACGGGGGAGTACTCCGAGGAATTGTTCGGATTAATTCCAACCCCGCGATTTCACCATCGCAGATCGCGACAGAACTCGTGACACCTGACACCGTGATGCTTACCACCTGGATGATTGACGGTCCACTACTGTACGATTTACAAGAAATTTTCTTCCTCACACAACTTCTCTGTGCAATCGACTACCACAAGCGATTTTTTCGAACCGGTACGACTTAAGGACCTTCAAGAAAAGAGTCTACTTTTTTGTAAAAGGCCGCCGCATCTGAAATTCCCCTGGCGTTGCAGTTGTTCATGGGCGGCGTAGTCAATTACCATCAGGTGAGCCGCATGCTCGTTTGTCACCTGAACAAAAACTGTGATTCCCGTTAAGTGCGTTATCAGAATCAGTATTCAAACGTATAGAAATAACTTAATTTCAATAAACTCAACCATTAGAAATTTAATTTTAATTAAAAGATATTTAATTTGCAAATCGTATGTAGTTTTATTTCCTCTGCATTTTCCGGGGAGTAAAGAGGATTGATAAAGATCCTGCTTTACCGATGCTCGTGTCAATAATAAAACTATATACAATTTGCAAATTCATTGTTATTACTGTCGATTTTTCTGGAAAAAAAATTTAATATTGTTACGTGCTTTAGGGTTCGTGACAATAAAAAACTGCCGATTGAATTACCAAAATTGACACTTTAATTACCGAACACCATGTAAAACTTAAAACACACTAATAGTTAATCACACTTAACACGTTAGTTCACTTTATTCGCTCCGAAGTTTTCGCTTGTATCGCCAAATCATACTGCCTCAGTCGCGGCCCTAAACGGCTTTATATAGGCCTTCTCCACCGAAACATCTAGAATGTTTGAGAAAATACCGCTCCCGACGGATTAGGTGTAGAAAATTCGAGTGTGGAGTGAATTTCTAAAAAGCTTAATTCTTCTATTCGATAGTAAATGGCGCTAGTGGGAGAGTTTTAGAAATATCTTGACGCTCCTATTTCTGCTCCTCAATACTAGATGGCGCTAATAATCACCCGCTATATACCAGGCATTAATTACGGCGCGCAACACTACTCCCTCCTAAGACATGCTCGTCCCGAGCATTATCGACCCCATAGTAACGCGCCAGTCGATCCACATGGACGATCTTAGGAGTACCTCTTGCACCTTTCTGTATCCGGTAGGTTACGTCGTTGATCCTGGTCACATACCGGTACGGGCCGTCCTATTTAGCTTGAAGCTTAAGAGATTTCCCTTTGCTGCGGACCAGATTGTGCAACCACACTAGTGAACCTTCGTCGAACCCTTTGTTGTTCATTTTGCGGTCATACCGGGTTTTCAACTTTTCAGACATTTGCTGGCCCGATTGTCTGACGTGTTCATAAATGTCATTCATTTTACCCGTATGTCCCTTCTAAAGTTTGCTGGTGTCACTGATGTACTTTCGTGAACAGCGCTTCGATGTGACATCAAAAACCGTTGTATGTGCTTGTCCCAATCTCGTTGCCGATTGTTTACAACACTTGCTAGGTACCTCTCCAATGTCTGATTAATTCGTTCTACCATTCCATCAGATTGCGGGTGATAAGAAGTCGTTCTTGTTTTATGAGTACCCATAACTCGGCAAGTTTCCTGGAATATTTGAGACTCAAAATTCCTTCCTTGATCGCTGTGAATCTCTAAAGGTACTCCAAAATGACAGAAGACTACATGAACTAGTTTATCTGCAACTGTTGAAACTTCTTGATTGGGAATGGCGAAGACTTCTGGCTACTTAGTGAAGTAATCCTTCACAACCATGAGATACTTGTTACAACTTTCACTTTCCGGAAACGGTCCCGCCACGTCAATGGCTATTCTCTCCCATTGTGCACCAACATTGTACAACTTCAATGCACCTCTACTACGAGTCTGAGGTCCCTTTACAGCCGCACAACTTGTACATTGGTGACACGACATGTTTTGACAGTGGACCCCGTAAAACCGTTCTCAGATCTTCAGTAGAGTTCGTTTAACTCCCAGATGGCCTCCTGAACAATCATTACGGTACAGCTGTAGAACATCCGGTACTTTAACTTTAGGGACAACCGTTTGCAAATGACATTCACTTCTCAGCAGTCCAAACAGCCTTCAAAGAGTTTATTGATTCTCGCCCCAATGGTTTTTTTTAGTAAAAGAACCAATGAACTACCTATGAGATGACAAAAGTGCATAGATAACATGGTGCATACTTTGATTAATTAAATATATTTGACAAAAAATTGACTTTATTATCCTCCCTTTATTTCATATGTAAGGACCTATTAATAAAATATAATTATATAGCGTAGATCACTCCTGGTGCTCTCCAGCTGTTAGTGAAGTCTCGTCACAATTGGTTTCCCCATTCCGAAGATGAGCTCAAACAGACAAATAGACAGACAAAAATATTAAAATGATTATTAATGTCTTAATATCTATTAAGACATTAGTAATCATTTTAATATTTTTGTCGGTCAAATGGCAAATGGTTCCCTGATCTTAAGAGAAGCTGATTATTACAGTCAGACACTTCAGTTTGATTTATATAAAACAATGATCATTTCATATAACTCCTTTTATTGTTAACAGTTTAACTCTTAGTAAAATATCAGTGCTGGGAGCAGGACAAGTGTATTTCAAAAAATTAGTCTCTCAGTTATCAGCTCTACACAGCCGAGTTCATATCGGAGACGTAGCGGTAAGATTTTTTTTTATAGGAAACTACACTACACACTTTATTTATAAAAGTCACCATTTCAACAATGCCTGTTCAAGCTGAACGCACATTTGTCAGCACCGTACACGCCGTACGCGCCGTAGTTTAGAGTTCGTTTTATGAAATCATATGAAACCTCGCATATTACAGCTGCACCGTACGCGCCGCATTTTATAAAATGCGGTAGGAATCATGACGTCATATAATGCAGCGCGTTCGGCGCGTGCTGATACTCAGTGTTGTCTAATGTTGCCAACTTAGTGGATTTTCCACTAAAACTGGTGGTGGAAACAGAAACAAAAACTTTTTTATTCAATATAGATTATAAATAATACTTATGGAAAGTTTTTTGTTTTTAATTTACCACTGGTTCGGAATAAAACCTCTTTCCTGGGAAGAACCAGCAAGAAACCCAGCGGGACTTTTATAAGAAATATATTTTTACTTAATTTCAGGAGTACGAGTATTTTCCTTTACTACACAATAGTTTCCTTTAGTACACAACAATGAGTCGTCACATAAGATTTTTATAACTTTTAATTAATGCGTAATTAATTATACATAATTTAAAATAAAAATTGCATAAGTTATTAATATGAATACTTAGCGACAAAATAGTTTGAATACAACAAAAAAAATTGATACTTAATTTTTATTTAAAACCCAATTATACCTGATTACTTAATTATCAATAAAAATACTTACCTCAAACATACAACAAGTCTTTCCTCTGGTTCAATTGGCCTTCTAAATCTTGAGTTTTGGTATTGTGGTTTTAGTTTATGTAGCAATTCCTGAAATTTCTTGTATGTTAAATGCAAATATTTAAAAAATTGTTCTTCCTCATCTAATAAGTCTTTAAATAAAATATAATATTCTCCATACAACTCCCTTTTTAAATTAAAGTTATGAATGCAGAATCTTCTTTTTTCGAATTTTATTTTCTTCTTCATCTGCCAATAGCAGGCAATTAAAAAAAATTCTTCCAGAGCGATCCGAGCGATCAATGTCACTGTACCGTTTCACACCAATGGTTGAAAAAAATTATAAAAGTTGTTGACAATACAAAATAAATGCGTACGGCGCGTACGTACAAACGTTCCAGACTATCCGCAAAACGAGGCGCATACGGTATTTATATATATACGGAATTTTATTTTCTTCTTCCTCTGCCAATAGCAGGCTATTAAAAAAAAATTTCCAGAGCGATCCGAGCGATCAATGTCACTGTACCGTTTCACACCAATGGTTAAAAAAAACCATAAAAGTTGTTGACAATACAAAATAAATGCGTACGGCGCGTACGTACAAACGTTCCAGGCTATCCGCAAAACGAGGCGCATACGGTGCTGACAAATGTGCGTTCCGCTTTACAGAAATACACAGTTTTGACTGTCGGCAATATGCCTTTGAAAATTGCAAATAGCATTGGAAAAACCCTCGCCCCTACTCCCTTGCTTTGCTGCGCTCGCGCGACGATGTGTGACCAATTAGCACACTCAAAAGAGATGTTTATCTTTGATTACACGATCGTACGATCGTTATTAAGCTTTCTTGTGCTCGCGCGATGTCTTGCAAGCTTCAATTGGGGCAGGATACTCTAAGAAATGTTCGTGTAAAAAATACGAACGGCTCGATTAATATAAAAATCTATAAGTGGTGCATTTTCGACGATCTGATAAAGTTGTGCATCGTTATAGTTTAAACAATTGTTTCAGTTCCAATTTATCGGCTCACAGATTGATATAAATAAGATGCTACGAGAGAGCTCATTAGCAGCGAGGTTTAACCCTATGTCAAACATCTTGGACACTTTTAAGGAGCAATTAAATGAATATGTAGCTAACTTCGTCTTTGAAGAAATTAACAAAATGCTTGCAGGGGCACCTGTAAGTCCGTTTTTAGCTTATCTGTTACCTTAGAATGGAAAGGGATCTGATTTAGATTTAGCTGATATTCTTTAAAATGCCTGTGTAATAAAATATCAATACATTCAATCATTTGTTTTATTTAAATATCTAGTTGGAAGTAAAAGTAACAATAACTTTTTGTCTAAGCGCTAGTGTAGACATTTTATATAGTAGTTTTTATTTACAAATGATGGTTTTTTTAGTCACCATCACAGTCTACAGCCAGAACTATCATATCATCAATGTCACAGGAGAATTTTCAGTCACACTAAAATCTAAATTAACTGGAAGTTGATAACATAGAGCTTCAAACGGATATCCGAACAGAGGACTACTTATATTTTAAAATATGGGAAATTTAAAAGCAATATCGTGTTATATAGCGCTTAAGGATACAGGGAACGACTTTATGAGTCCAGTAGTAAATATTCTTGAAGCCTGAGATAAAAGAATGCAGCTGATGAGGATAGGCCATTATCAGTGAGCCAATTATTTAAGTAGTACGTTGCAGATTTAAACAATAACTCAGGTCTGTAAAGTTGTTAGAGAAGTAATAAAGAGTTATATCATCAGCATATTGTAAGATTTTATACAAGGAGTTAACAGAATATTCGAAATTATGAGTGTATAATAATAATAATCCTTTATTGCAGACACAGAGATCCATATTTACAAGAAAAATTAATCTATACGTATAATAAATCTGTAGATAGTCGTGTCTGTAATTCTATTATACTTATTCTTGAAAAAACCAGTCCAGGGGACTTAGTAAAAGGTATTGAAGCTAAATAAGTGGTTCTTAGAATTTTTGTCTGTCTGTGTATTAAAGATTCGCGCAAAAACTACTGGATCGACATCCATCAAATTTTCTACGTATGTAGCTCGGGGCAACTTATAGGCAATTTTTTATCCGATAACGGAACTTTAAAAAAGAAGGTTAAGTATTTTCCTTCCTTTAGATGTTAATTTTCTGTTATATATGATATACAGAACTAACACAGTTACAAGTATGCAGGATATCTGGTGTGTTTCAAATAAATACCATATTTATAAATAAAGTTTCTTATTAGTTTTAACCTTTGTTTAATAATTTGAAACTGTGCCACCGATATACATTTTAGTTTACAAAACACCGCCATCTGTTATCAAATAGAAAAAGTAAATTTTGACTTCACTTTTAATATTAAAAGATAATATAAAATATAATTAAATTTTATGTTAAAATAATGAGATTTATAAAATTACAATTTAAAAATCCGGACGTTTATTTTTTAGCTATTTCGTTACCTATTTCATTTTAAAACTATAATAATTTAAATAGATAATATAGTGACATCTATGAAATATGGATATGGTTTTTAGTTCAATGACTAATGTAGGTAGGTATATGTAAATTGATTTAAACTGGTTTGCCTGCAATTATTGCAAAATTCTCATTATTCTTATAGTTTGATCAAAAAGATTTCTATATATACTTATGTCGTGGCCAGTTCGTAGGCTGATCATATCTTATAGTAGTCATTTCGTGAAATAGTAGTAGTAATTTAACACCATTTATTGACCATGATGTCATAATATAGCTTGTCCGAATCAATGAATAGAGATCGTTTGATGATATTAAGATTAATTAATTTTTTTTAGAAAGAGTGTACCTACATTATTTACACTTTAAATTTTGCCAAACTGTAAGCCAGTTTGTCGGCAACGTAGCAGTTTATCGTTTCATTCATTATATCTAAAAAATCTGAACAACATTGTTATTCCGTGATATTATGGTCATATCGTCAAATAGTTTTTCCTGCTAGGGCGCTGTTAGCATGTTTTTAACACAAACAAATTTTTTAGCAGATTAAACGCAACTTTATGCCTTATTTATATTTATGTAATAAATAAATGTTCGCGGCTTTCCAGTCGCACCCCCACCTTCTATCGTTGATATTACTAGATAGCATAGTTTTGGCTTTCATTATTACATCTAATAACAGTGCCATCTACTTACTGCTAATTAAACTAATGATAAATCACTGATAAAATTAAGTAATAGAGGCAACTGAATACTTATTCGTTTAGAATCAAAACTTTAATTAGGTACTCAGACTGGTGGCCATTATCGGAATAATTTAATGCAATTCCTAGGTATGGAAAAATGATTAAGCATACATTTTTAACTCTATCTGATAGAATAGTTCGTGGCATCGTTGGATGTCTAATTAGTTAGATGTGGTCACCAATCATGCAAAAGCTTTGTGTCAATTTTCATAAATTTTATTTAAGCATATACGAGAGCCGTGTAGCAGGCCTTGAGATTTCATTATCGCACGGGAGCAAAACGTGTACTATTCCCTCGAGGACAAATAAATCTGTAATACTTAGTAAATTTTACGTGCTGACTTATCACGTATCCGGTGAAGTGGTGAACAATAACTTCGTGGAAAACCCTAGATGTTTGATTAGTTAAAAGTGAGGAAAACATCGCGAGGAAACTTGCATATCTGGTTCCCCAGTTGAAGTCATTCCGTGCGCAGCGAAAACTTATTTGACCAAAAGTTGTCTACGACCTGTGCCCAGTATTGATGATGATAAGATGTAGGCTGCTACTGTTTTACTTTTAATGGATGAATAATGCGTAGAGCTCATCATCGTCATCATTACATCAAAAGTCCACATAGGCCTCCCCCATAAATTCACAAATAGGCTGGATATTTGCTATGACGATATAAGGTGGCGGATTCTCTTTCGCCGCCACAACATGTCAAACTACTTCCTTTCATGAGTGTGGTTCTTCCCACTTTCACTGTGAATAGAACTTCATTTGAAATGAGCCTATTTTTAAGAATTTTAACTTTTAATGTTAACTTTTTTAATACTTTACAGCACCCATGGTCATGGTGGGGACTAGGGTGCTTGAGGTCCTCATTGTATTGTCTTGCAGTAGTATGCCTGGGTTTAAATTTAATTTTAGTAATTATTGGATCCCAAGCAGATGGTAGCACCCAGGCATGTTCTCTATTGAAATTGGGATATTTTTTTATTTCAATAGCCTCGAAAATCATCCTTGGTAGGAATCGCGGTTCTTTTGCGCGGATTTATGATCTATCAGATCTGATATAATGGTTGGGATGATAGGTACTGAACATGTTGACATACTTCAGTGCTTTACATCAGCGATATCTTCTTTTACGGGAGTTTTATGGATTTTTCATCCAAAGATGCGTAAAAAAACCTACGTAAAAAAGTTAAAATTAAATGCGATAAAACTTTTTTTAATTTTATCCCATGTGCAGTATTCGCGTAAATATAAGAAATCGTTACAGAACTTCATTTATGAAATTTTGCAATCTACTCATAAAAATAATATCATCATTTATTTTATGGTGTCAATCAATATTAAATGGGACCAATAATATGAATCAAATGAACATCATACCGTAAATTAATAGACGATAATGAAATTCATTCATTGTTTTGTTAAAACTAAACTAACTTTAATGATGAAAGAATGTGGAGTGTAAAATGTAAATAACGCAATTTTTTCCAAATGTAAAAATGTCAATAAAAATTGATTCCAAGACAATTTGGCAATTGATAATTACCTTTCCTATGGATACATCGGAAGACACGCCTGATATAAGAAATAGCAGGTGATTAAAGACATGAGATATTTATGAAAAACATATTTATTCCAAAGATATCTTTGATTTATTCACGTTTTCCTATAACATATTATATCTCGGCCAAATATCAATCATCTACGTCCAATAGTCTTTGAGAATTAAAAAAAAATCTTTAACAAACAGACATAAAGAAAGACACAGACATCGAATTTTGCCAAATTTAGAACGCGAATAGCGTAGCCGCGGGTAAAAAGCTAGTTATGAATAATACTTAATATACCCAAAATACGTAAAAATATCCCGCTTTGACAAACAAAAGCGTGACAATCATGCAAACTCTGTCACCCGTGCCATCATTATGACACCGCGCGTACCAGGTTTGCCAGCATGGCTTGTGATTATTCTGAAAAGCTGCACTTTTGAATTTAAAGTAACGAAGTGACAATTTTTAATTAATCTACAATAAATTATCAAATAACATAAGTTATTTCCGATTAGTATCAATTTGATGTTCAGAATTCACTTTTGATCATTAAAAGATTCAAACAACTATGTGTTTTATTTATAAAACTATATTAAGGGGCTCCAGACTGAATTTTGGTAACAGCGGCCATTCTCAACGGAAAATAGCCATCTGCGCATCTGAATTATATTGCCCAAGTGTAATACTACCGCTACTGAGAATTTTGTGACATAAAACCCCAATAAATAATTCTCGACCCGACTCGGGTTTCAAACTTGGGATCACATGATCAGCAATTGCGTTTACGACCATTAGACCAAGAAGGCAGTCAAAAGTGTTAAAACTATAATAATTTTAAGGGCGTCCCACTCAGAGGAAAAAATAAATGGTCACTAAAAAGCCGGGATTTTTATCTACAAACTAATTGATATTTATACAATCGTAGTTATATTTCACTATAGAACAGTTTGCCACTAGTTAGAAAGGGAGCGATCGTCTTCTCGAAAGCCCGGTAAAAACTCACGCATGCGAGAGAGACAACCAATCGCTCAATTCAACTCTCCTTATATATGTATGATAGCAGTATTCCTAAGGCTACGAACGTGTCGAACAGAGCGCGCGGGAAATTTGAAATAGTTTGAAACAGTTTACGAGTTATTTTATTACTTGATATTTTTGATTGATTCAGCTTAATAAGGCAAGCAAGACTTTTGGGCTTCTATGGAGGCTTCGCCACTGAACCTTATGGGTAACACTAGTCGCTCATTCTTCCATACAAACGTAGTCTGGCGATTACTCCACTGTTTGATGGTGTACGTTCAAAATAAAAAATGATTTCAATTTGTCTCATCATTATCTAGCCCTGTATGGAAACAAAAAAGTAAAAAAAGAGTATGTTTAAAAGTTATAAGCGTCGAAAATTCTAAATTTCAACACTAGTTTTAACACATCTTTCGGCGAAAATAAATACCATAAGAAGAACGAAAAATTGCAAAACAGTTGACCATACAGGGATAGATTAGTTGTTTAAAAATGCATATAATTATAATGATTTCTTAAATTTACGCGAACACTACACATTGAATAAAACTAAATTTACGGATTCTATCGCGTTTATTTAACTGATTTTACTTACTGGGCTAACAATGACATTGGGACGTCAAACATCTTAGTCCCCCCCGTGACCATGGTTGCT